GAGACCGGATTTTAGGCAAATGCCTATTTTTTTCCTTGCGTTCTTATCGCCCCATTTCGATATATGAGCACGAATTGGAGGTCAAGGATGGGTTTAATGGTGGTTTTATAATGCCTATAAATGCCTATTTTGGGTGTTGGTGCCTAAACTCCGATAAATGCCTATAAATGCCTTTTTTCTCAAATTGGCGCCTAAATCAGCACTATGTAGCGTCAAGTTTCGCTTTCAAGTGCAATTTGATACCTTTATTCATTATACCTGGAAATATTTACTGTTCTAAATTCGATGGGTTTGAACCTGGTCCTCTTTTAACACTCCCCCCCCCCCCCCCCCCCCACTCCCTTTGCGCCGGTGCAACCGGAGCGGCGGCTTCTGCATGCTTTACGGGTGGCTTTCCCGCAGGACATGGCTGTGGACGCACAACTCTATATACTCCCCAGGGGAAATATGATACTGTCAGGGACAAAGAAAGTGATGGGGAAAAATTACGCCCACCTCCCCTCGCGGGAACCCTGGTGTGATGCAACGCATCTGGGTGGTTCCATCGGTGTTTCCATTAGGTTGATTCTCTAAAGGAACCGTCGCATCAAGCAATCGTCGAGTACTGCGAGAGAGTGCAAACGGAGCACGGATGCTGGTAGTTACCTATTGTTTCTATAATTTTCATAGTGATTCTTGAACTAGGTTCCGCGTTCTGTCCAAACACAATTCTTAATATTTATATTTCGAATGAGCCTATGTGTATTTGGCAGCGTTGAAAGGTCTTGCCTGTATAATTAAGGTACCTGTAGAAAAATGCTAAAGTTTGTACGTAAGTTCTCACGTAACATGTTAATTTCTTAACAAACCTTGTCTATCTTGCATTTATTATTTTCTTGCTTTATTGTAATTTAATTGCGTCAGGCAGACATAACTTTGCGCTTTTATAAATCAGTATTACCATATTTCAAATATTGTTTCTCCTGCCTGTTTCACAATATGCGACGCTTGAGTGACTTTCGCATCTGAACATGTATGTAAGCAATGCGCTTGTGAAATTAAGCCAATTGATCGCCATTAGCCCAGAGGTATTACGGGGCAATTCCACGTCTAATGTCAATGTATAGAACTTGTTATGAGAGAAAAATAAAGAATTGAATTGAATTGAATTGAATTGAACTGTTACTGCCATTGTGGCCTCATAGCAATGACATTTTTGGATTTCCCATCGTGCTAACAGTTCGGTCGCGTCTTCACTTGAAATTATTAGCATTTATCTAAAAATTTATTGCGCCTATTTTATTCTTTTTAGTGCCTAAAACGCTGTTTTTGCCGCGTATTTTTGGCGCCTAAAACATGCTTTTTTAGTGCCTAAAAATCCGGCCTCTACTTATCACGCGGCCAGTAGCTACGTCAACTAGACAGTTTTTACCGTTTTCCTCCTTGTGCATAGAAAAAGATATATATATTTTAGGCTTCAATTTTTTTTTTATAGAACAACACTCACAATATTTGTTTGTGATAAATGCAACACCTAAATACACCTTTATAAAAAAAAATTTTAAATTCCCTCTGTTCATTGGTTTATTGACACAAATTTTTACTCTCGAATAGCACTCGAAAATGTCCTGTAGACCTCTTTCGTTAGCCCTCTAGCCCCAGCCACATGGGGCATTTTTTGTGCGCTGTGTTTTATTGTATTTATTATCCATTTAAAAGGGCTGGTAGGGATAAAAGGTGGATGGAAACACCCGGTGAAGGTCCCACACCCCATACGGGTTTCAGCGAATCACAGCTTATACAAAATACTCGAACCAAAAAAATATAGGTAAGAAGAGGCTACACTTTTTTTATACAGCATCCACATTCATGCTGATAGACATACCACTCCTTTACTCTGTCTTTGAAAACCTTTCATTGTAAAGACACCTTTGTGCCATAGCACTTTGCACAAAGGTATCTTTGGGTGTGCAATTATCACACTCAAATTTGATGAGTGTAGGTCATGGACAAAAATGCAACAGCGGAAAAATGTTTTATTGCTATGCACGGGGAGAAGAACTGGAACAAAGTACCTTGTTGGTGCGGATACTCACAAATAGCACCCCACACACTTTCTGAAAAGCTTAATTGCACACACTTCATTCATTGACTTTTATAAAACCTTTCTTTCATGACTGAATAGCACTTGAGAACACTTTGTACTCAATCTGTCCCCTTGCACTCGACACACACCTGCTGAACCTCCTTTCCAACGCACTTTGCAAGACAACTGCCCAGTTTAGTGGCGCCACCTCTGTGCAGTGGCATCAAGTAGCTTTTCAAACCTGCTTCAGTGCAGTGTCCCCAGATGGCGATAGTTTTGTTGTCTCCATGTTTTGTTTTGTATTCGGAGGGTCACAAAGTTTTAAACTTTTGTATTGATTTTGTCTCTCCATTGCAAAAAGTAGGGTATTACTTTTTTTTTTCTTTCATATTTTTGTTTTTTTTTGGATTGCAAACACATCCCAACTTTCCGCATCTGCGCAAGATCCCACTATCTTTTCTCTTGGCCAGGGTGGCCCTGGCTAAAAGAGAACCATTGTCTCATAGTTATCGTGAACATGAAAATCACGATTGTTGCACTCTGCCCTGGATATGATCTGGCAGAGATATTGCAGCTCGTGAGGTGCTGTGGCATGGCTATAGAATTTCTAGATTTCGTCTTTTGACCGATTAATTTTACACCTCCATAATGACGGTAGACCTTCCTCCGAATTTTTTATACCCTGCAGTGGGCTGTGTAAAGCGTGCTTGTTGTTCACATACTATCTCGAAAGGATGGCCCCAATCACGAATGCTGTCACTGGAGACGAGACGAGGGTTAAGAAGTCGTACGTCGACGGCTGGCATCTTCCCATCCGGGGCTCATATACCACGGGTTCACACTTTTTTCATTCAGCACAATGTGGCACATGCGTCAGTCCCATTTGCACAATCCCAAGTTGTTTATTTCAATCGGTCACGACTACACATGTTTCGTACGTTCCGCGCCGCTGGACTCTCGCTTAGTCTTCGGTTTCTTTCCTTTAAAGAGCAACTCCAGTGGAAAACCAAACCAAAATAAATAACGAGTATTGCTTAAGCGGCACAAATTGGGATCACGGCCAAAATATTACGTCAGAGTGAAGCCACATACTCCACTAAAACCAATTTTAAATGTGCGACCAGGTGCTATTTAGCGGGCGGCAAGCAGGTTGGCGTTTAGTCAAGGAACACTGGCACGCAGAACCCCCGGGACGTCACGTCACGTCACGTCACGGTTCATTGATTGGTTGTACCGCGTACCGCAGCGCCACGATGACGTCACGTCGCGACCGTACGGCTGACGAGCAGTGTTGCCATCCTTCTAGCAGATAGTGTCGATTTTGCCGTAGACGCCCCAAAACAAATTTTGAGTCGTGATATTTATAAAACTGCACGCAATATCGAGAAAGAAAATTATACCTTGTAATTCAGGCGCACTGCCTTAGCTGAAAACAGTCGTAGTCCCAAATTAAAAAATATTGACCAGAGTTGCCGCTTTATAATAGTAATCATAATCTTTATTTCAACCCAGGAGGGTTCAGGTGTACGAGAAAGGCTGGGGGTTCCTGGGCCCGCACTAGTTTTCCTAGTACACCAAAATAGAGCAAGAAATCAAGGGGGAGGAGAGGAAGGGAGGAGGTGGGGCATAGCCTCCTCTCCATACCCTCCCCTCCTCCTCAAGAGCTCTGCTCTAATTCTGCATTACAGGGAATTGTAAACGTCTTTCATTCTTTTTTTTTTTTTTTTTTTTTTTTGTTGTTTGAACTTCTGTGTCGAACCTCCAGGATTGTGCCAACCGACGGCACTACACTCTGGCTTTCGCGACGTCATTATTTGCCACTTCGGGAATGCTTGCGGCGCTTGGGTGGAACGCTAAATGCACCGGCTGGACACGCATTCCGTGACATAATGCTTGGCTTTGGTAAATCTCAGAACTGCGGCATGTGGTTCCACCAACGGCGGAACTCGAAAAGCATGATGGGGGATATCTTTGGATCACGAGCAAGGCTCGCGTTGAACGGCCCCAGCGGCACCGGTCGGGCTGCCGACGAGTCGACTTCTTGCGAAACTTTGAATGAGTAATGCCTCGTATAAAAGTTAAGTATCGATCTATTAATAAATGGTCAATGCGCAGGCGAGCTGGTGCGTATTGATCGTGATGTTTGAACCCTGAGACGCGCATTCTAATTCTCAGGGTTTAAGCATCATAATTTATTGATCTGTGCTTCTTTATGGCGCTGACTACTCTGGCAACAGCATTCTCGATCGCCAAATGCGAGCAAACTCGTGCGAGCCAGAAAACGCTGCCTTCTTGCATAGGCTCCCACAAGGCTAACCGTTTCGGCGTGGCGTCCGACGAGATTCCTAGCCGGAGCTACGTCACTTGAAACCGCCTCGTGGGCGAGGAGGTGAGGAGGTGTCGCTCTGCGCCCAGCACCGAGCGACCGGAGGTTCACAAGTTCCAGTAGCCCACAAGCGCTCGGCGACGCCACGGCGTTCGGAGCGTGCCTTTAGCCGGTGTGATTGCCATCCAATCCTGCCCACGTGTCGAAAGTGGTCGCAAAGCGGCAACAAACTGCGTCACGGGAGATGTCATGTGCTGTCGAATGTCACAGACCTAGCGGTCGGTCCTGGAAATGCGAGCAAAAGGGGCAAGCGGATGCGAGGGTCACTGTCGTCGCGGTGTTCCATCTCGCGTCTGCTTCGCGTTTCGTAGGTTTGTCTGGATTCAGTGTTACTTGCAGCAGAAGGGCATCTGCCCAGTCTACCTCCGTTACTTTGCCGGAAGGCAACAGCGTGGCACTTTTACGACAACGTCCAGCAAGAATCAAGGGACCGCATTTGAGGACGCAGTAAACACGTCGGTCGGCAACACGTTCCGAACACTGAGCGACGTCGAAGCCGGCGAGTTGCTGCATGCTTTGTGGTCAGGGGCGTTGCTTCTGTCCGTGCAGACTGGCCCCGACTGGTGCTGGAGGTGTGGCGCCAAGACGCATACGGACGGAGCGACCTGTCCGGCTACGCCAGCTGCCACCTGCCAAGCTCCGCGGGGCGCCACCTGCTCCAGTGCGCCACGTGGCGCCCCCTGGGCTCCCTGTCCGAGGAGACGTCCCGACACTTCCTTGGAGGCAGCCTGCGCCTGGCCGACCCGGACGGCGCGTGCGGGCGGCCGTGCGACCGGTTCCGCCTGCGAGCTCGATCGTGCGGGACGGTGCACCTGGACGTATACGTCGTGCAGCGGGACTTCGACAAGTACGGCATCGAGACGTAGCGGGACAGAAGAGCCTTTCGTCGCTCTTTGAGGCTCCCGCCGCGAAGCGGTGGTCGGGAGTTTTTCTAGGTTGTCCGGACATGTGCCAGGAGTGACATGTTTGGCAAGAGCGGGTCTCATACCACGCAACCGTGCTTGGGCGCCGGGACGGCCCCGAAACGTGGTCTGCAATGGACGCAGCTCGTTTGTGCATATCCCCCTACCCCCCGCCTTTAGCTGCCGAAAGTTGTACAAGAATCGTTGGCGCGCTGCAGTAAAGTCGCCGCGCTGTTTCTGCCGTCGCTAGCACAATAGCAGAAGCAGCAGCTTTTGATACTTTCCGTTTAGTCGAGCGTTTTCAAATGCAGCCATAGTTCTTTTGACTGCTGCATTTGGGATACCTTTATCTATTTTGAAGCAGTTGAAGAATGTCTACCTACAACCCGACTTTAAGGTTTTTGCTGCTAGAACAAATAGCGTTAGAAAATAAAAGCAACAAATCAAACCAGAAATCAACGATCGTATGAAGTTCCCGCGAGTTTTCACGGAATCCAACGCCATAATGAAGAGAGTAGGCCGTAACGGCGTGCACCTGCGTGACCTTTTTAGTTCAGGTCGACGTTCGGAAACAAAATGATGTGCCTCTGGTTTAATCTCGCTTCCAGAGTCCTTTGTGTTTGCCTAGTGCTGCAGTGTTCTTTTAGAGCAGCGAGGACCGACACCACGGAAGTGCCGGCAGAAACTTCACTTGGTGCAACGGCCGTAACGGCCGAGACAATCGTGGTGCAGACTTCCCCGCAAACGGTGATGACAACGGTCGCAACCACCGCGGCTACGACGACGGGAACACTCGCCCCGACCAAGAAGCCACATTCAAAAACACTGACGCAGCTGAGGCCCACCGAACGCTGTTTCTGCGACCTCAAAAGGAACTCGTGCGACGTCGAATGCTGCTGCGACTCGGACTGCACGGAGGATGATGCAAAGTCGTTTTCGTTCTGCGTCGACAGGGTGCCGGAGGCCCCTGACCTGCGCTATTGTACCAAGCGGGACGCCATCTTTGCGAGCCGAACCCTCTTCGAGAAGCGGCCTGTGGGAGATCTCCTCTGCGTCGTGGTCGACAACGTGCGGAAGAAAGACGTCTTCGGCGAACCACCCTCCGTTTCGTCGCCGGCGGACGTGCACAAGCTTGTCGAGGAATCGAGGCACGGCTGGATGGCAGATGGTGCCGAGCAGACGACGAAAGTGCAGTTTAAAGCCGGGGACGCGCTGCTCCGGCTGGAAGACAACGGCGGCGTTGGTGAATGGAGTGAGTGTGTTGGAGCAAGTTTGTCTGTAGTCGCAGGCAGGATGAGAACGGCGGAGCGTTTTTTTCACATCCCCGTTTTCCTATGTGCACTCGTTGTCGTTGCTACATTGTCGAGGCTAGCGAGGCTTCCCCCGTGCAGCAGTCGCGTCCTGCTGTAAGAGCACGTGGCTTCGTCATTTGTCTTACTCGCTTGCGCTCTCGTGCCAAGGAGCTTTGACGGCGTAGGAGCATTACGGAAGCTACACTAATATTGACGAGGTAGCACGAAATGGTTGATGGCGGGTATAGCAGCCAATAAGTTTAGCCTCGCTAATACTGGAAGCTCCTTCTCTTGTGAAGACTCCAGTGGACCTGAAGTCTTCACAAGCAGATGACGCAATGGAAAAGTGTATGCTTTGCAGTATTCTCAGTCTCTGCGAGCCCCATTTTGTTACTCCAAAATTGAACAATTCATTACGCTCAGTATTGTTTGCACGGCGGAATCCACTTATCCCGACCGCGACGACACCCAATCTATAGTGCACACAAAAACAGACATTCATTATGTCGGTAGGCAACGTTAACGCCATTTGGATGATTGCACATATTTGGTCTGCCTCTGGGGAGTGGAAAGAACTCTTAGCCATTTTAACTATATTGTAAAAACTTTCTCTTCATGTGCTAGGCACAGAGCAGTAATGTTCTCAAAACTTCTTACCTGAATGGTTGATCGCTTAAAGATGCACAAACTACAAATTCATATTGTCAGCTGTAGTGTGTTGCAAGTTTAGAATATGAGGGCAAGCCCCTCCCATTGAGCTCTCTGCTCACCATGATTGGTTGTTTCCTCCTCTCCAGCTTTCCGTCTGCTAAAGTGGAAAGAGTGAAGGCCTCTGTGGGCGGGGCTTGTCCTGCTATTCTCAAGAAGCGAATCTGTCGGCTCAGTGGACATTGCCAGCTAGCAGAGGCTGCTAGCAGCAGATGTGCCTACAAAGACACACAAACTTCCACAACATAACAAAAGTAACAAGAAAAATGGTTGTGCCAACACTTGAAAGACATTGTAACATTGCGAAGTGCAACCGAAAGCGGAAGAGGCATTTGGAGGTTTCTCTTCCAGACGAAAATAAAAAGCAACCCCAACCAAAACACAGGAGTGTGCAGATGACACAAATGTCTCCGTATTTGAACGAGACATCAAAACGTGCGGGCATAGCCCAGCAGACAAGGTGGTCTTTGTAGGTGCCAAAACAAACAAAAAAAGTATAAAACATACATGACAACACAATCGTAAAAGTAATGCAATGAGTAGCGTCGGAACGGAGGGTGGGGAGTGTGATTGCCCTCCCAGACACTTCGGAAATTTAATGGAATCAATATGGGGGAGGGCTGTAGACTTGAGTCAAAAAAAAAAAAAGAAAAAAGACAAAGAAGCAGGTGGAAGAAAAGGTATAGCAGCATCTAGAACTTTAAAAAAAAATTAAAAGTATGGAATCAGTAGCAAGACCATCTGCCGTGTGCGGGAATTTATTGTTGAAAGAAAACCGCAAATAAAGTTAGCCATCCTTTGATCGGAATTTTTGCATTGTATTCAATGCAAGTGAGCGTCGCCTTTCTCATCTTACAATGCTATATTTTTGTGTTTGCGTGAGAAGTGAGAAATCTTCTTCGAAGCTTTTTTTTCCCAATTTAGTAAACATGTACATTCATTTCGGTAATTACCTTAAATTTTATACGCACAAGCGTCTCCCCAGCAGCATACTATACTCTGTTTCACCTTATGATGTACCGCAGGAAAGGCTACAAGCGCGAGCTCCTTGCTCTAAGGCACATCTCGGCGGCACAAGCTCTCGTGCATTAGGGGCAGCTCCCAACGCTATGAGCTCGCGCTTCTAGCCTTCTCTGCGGTACAACATAAGGTGAAACGGAGTATAACATATTGATAGCAATATTAGTTTGAAATAGGTTTCCCGGTGCCTTTTATTCCCTCAATTGGCAACGGTGTTAGTGGAATTGGCAAGTTTGCCTAATTGACGAGACGGTTAAGAGAAAAACGTGAATAGAAAACAGCAATGTTAACAGCAAAACCGCTGGAGTTTCCAATATTAGTCTCAAAGGTATTTGCCTGTAGTGTTCCGGAATATATGGTGCCAGTCGAGGTGGAGAAATTTGGCATTCGAAACCGAACTGTACGAGTAAGATCCAGAAAGTTCCCGTACAAGATTGTGGTAACCATGCCATTTGGTGCACTGCATGTCTAAAAAATCCCTGGAGTTAACTCGCTTGAGCTCGAATCCTGGAGTTAACTCGCTTGAGGTCAAAGCGACGTGTTTTCTTTTTTTACTTTCGTTTTTATTTTTTTACTTTCCTTTTTTATTTTTTTGTTATGGAACTCTAGTTGTGGGAGGTTGACTTTCATTCATGATGCATCATTTGCATTGAGCTGTCATAATAGTTAAAAAAACACTAATCAGCATCAACAGGAGTTCCTTCAGAGTTTGCCACTTAAAGAAAAAAAATTTACATATAAGACGCACTGTTGTACAAGACGCATCGCCGAAAATTTTGGAAAAAAAGTGTGTCTTGTAGACCGGAAAATACGGTAATCGGTGGAGTGACAGCACTTACTAATTATTTCCATATAAATTTGGATTAGTGAAATTGACCATTGTTGGCTGGTGGGCTCGCTTGCACACTGAGCATCCTGAGCGTAGCAAGTGCACATGCAAGGAACATTTTACAGGCTTTGCAAGTTAAAGGGCTGCAGTGCGTGAAATTTAGAAGATGAAAAGGGATCTGGGAAAATTAAGAGATATCCTTTTTGTTGTTTGTCGTGCATGACAAAAATTCTCAATGATTCAACGGTTGCTCTTCGGGCATTCTGGTTCTCAAGATGCTTTTACGCAGTGCCGCAGATAGAGTATCTGAAACTTCCATCTTTGAACAAATCATGTAAGTCACCTGTATCCACCAGGTTTGCCACCTTTCAACATCTTGTATCATGCCCTAAAAATTAAGAACTGAACGTCTGCAAAGTGGAATTCTAGTTTTAGCAGTGATAAGTATGTGGCACTTGGACAACGGTCATTTCGGGGATCACATTTCAAGAGGCTGCCGTCTGGTACCACTGTTGTATTCTCCTGAGCCAGCGGCCGAAAGTTCACCGATTTCATTTGGTCGCGGAGAAAACCAGTGTTGACCATTGAGGGGTGGTGAGTTTGACTTTGTGAAGGGAGCGATTCACCCTCAAGTTTCCCAGACCATCACTGGTTTTGTTTCTCCAGCTGCTCATCAAAACCTAGGAAATGTCTCATTCGTAAGCTGCGGGTGCAATGTACCTGATTTTCACTCTTTTTTTCTCTTCTGCAAGGACTACCGGTACAGCTGTTCAGCACGGCCTGTGAAGCCACGGAAGCCGTGACCTACCTTCGGGACCAGGTATTCGAATGCACACGCGGCGTCGGGGTTCTCGACAATTGGTGCACATCCGACCCCGCGCTGAGTGCCCAGACGTACTATCGAGGTTTTGCAATCTCCTCTTCAGCAGACGACCGGGTTCAAGTCCTTCCGGCTCTTTGCTCCGGCGACGTCTGCTCTGACTTCCCGCCGTCTGCTCACGTTGCCCGCTACACAGACGACGGAGAGTGCAGAAATGTTGTCTCGCAGGTTACCTACAGGATCGTTCATAACGGTGTTCACGGTATCATTAACATTACTGCCAGGTACGAGACTACGACCTTACAGAGCGGTGCCACCGAGTTTCTGCAGAGGTTTAGAACGTTTTACGTGTGGTTGTCGGACGGTATATCGCCTGCTGCCGAGCGCAGCGGCAACCCTGGTTACCTGCCGGGGCTTCCCATTCCTGCGGAATGTTTTAAGACAAACGGCACCAGGTGCAACCAGTCGGAGGAAAGGACGTGGTTGACAGTTCCTAACGCCAGAAATGGGGACTGCACGACTCTTCTTACAGGCGAGGCCCTCAAGTTCGGTTCCAACCCGAGGACAGGTTGCCTGGTGAGGTCGGCTGTCTTTAAGAACTGCACTCTTCTGCAGAAAGCGGTGTTTGACTACCTGGTGGGGGAAAGTCTGTCGCTCACGCACGTCGCCATGTTTGGCAACTCGAGCCGTTCAAAAGTCGGAGAGCACGTCCCAGTCCTGCGCGAGAACGTGCCCTCGAATCCTGCTGAACGGGCGGCTTCGGCAGACAACATCAGGACCTGCAAAGTCGAAGCCACCGGTGTTCACATCTTTGTCCTGTACGCAAGGACGGAGCATGCGGACAATCCACAAAACAAGATTGTGTCTGTGTTGTACCGCTACGGCGGGATGACAGAAGTCGGGCTCTTCCATCTTCCCTCGAGCCAGCGGCTGGAGGTGTCGTTCGAGGCGACGTTTGTAGACGTCTCCCGGAAGGCAGTTCAGATCTTTGCACCGCCGCCCACACTCGAAGCCCATCTGCCAGAAGACTTCTTCTATCCTTTCTTTTTAGAGTCTAGCGGTGGGAAATGCTACATATGCCATAACCAATGCAGCTGGTATGTGTTGGTCTTTACTGCCGTTACCTTTCCGCTGCTTGCTTTCAAGACACTGCCGCAGATGTGAAAGCAAAGCATCTTTTTTGTCCAATTGTGTGTTCTAGGGTCACCAATTTACGCTCTGAATGTCACAGGTCCAGGCCGACGTCATTGTATAGCAGCTGTGGTGTCTGCTTTATGTTGCATTTATTTGTTCAATTTATTTTCTTGTTGTGTGCATGCTCTTGATTTTCAAATTGCCTGATGCTTGTTTGAACACCAGTGACCGCCCCCGGAAATAAAGATTATGATTATGTAAACACACAAACGTCTGTTTACTAAGAGTCCAGGTAAACGTCTAAACAGTTATTCCTCCATATTGTATTTACAGTGCGTGGAAACCATTTGGATTTATAATTGTCATGTCATAAACAGCATGCAGTTGAACTGAGAACTGAGGTTTGAACTGAGAAACTTAAGGCAATAATGGTACTTTTGAAAGTCTCAAATAAGAGAATGCAGCTCATCTTGTTTCATCTGAAGGAGAAATCTGCTTGAGAAGCTAAAACTTCTCAAACCCTTCGTAATTTATCTAGGAGTGTCATTATTATTATTATTATCTTCTATTTGGTAGTCTGTTTTCCCTGGCTCCTGCAGTGGCATATGCTAGACATCTGCGCGGAGCGAGCGGCTCGAACGGCAAGCGCACGTCTTGCATGATTAACTTTACGCGTTTTCCGGCTATATGAGAAATGGATCACGTGGATCAGAAGCTGTCGTCAGCTGTCGCGGGCTGTACGTGTCATACGTGTGCTGCTTATGCTACGAGTAAATTTCCTACAAGCGCACTCGTAGTAAAACGTGAATGCCGTCTGTTTTTTTACTTCAAGTTTCCGTCAAGCGCGCGCGCTCTTTCACGCGTGCGCAGTGTGCACACTGAGCTCGCCCCCTCTTGACCAATCTGAAGACGTTGCGTGGCATCTCGAAAGAACGAGCCATTTTGAGAAGTCCGAACGTAATTTTGGTCAAATTATAAGCGCACCTTGTCTAACTTGCGACCTTTCTAACGATCTAGAGCTGGAATGAAAGAGGACGTGGCGTGTGAGCGCAATTTCGAATAAAATTGAGCCGATATGGGATTATGTTTTTAGCGCGGATGCAACCTGTGCACGGCGGCGCTCGCGCGGAGGGATACAAAGCGACGTCACGGAGGTTGGTTTCAGTTCCGGTTCCGCTTTCGGCCGGCTCCGTTGACGGGGGTTTGCCGCTGCCGAGCAACTTGTTGCAGTTGCGAATATCTCCGTGCAAGGAGTGCGCCCCGGTGACGCCGTGGTGGCTTCGCTTGTGGTACCCAAAGCCCTTGGGGCCACTCTCGGCTGAAAAAAAAAAAAAAAAAGGCAAAAAGCATCTCTTCAGTGCCCGCCCGAAGGAACTTTACCGCATCGACGAACCGACAGCAGGACGCCGCTTCTGGAATGGAAGGCCTGGAGGTTGACCGTTCGCTCTACGACATCGGAGACTCGGATCTCAAGGAACTATGGGCTGCGGATTCGTTCGAATCGGTGAGAAATTCCAGCCCTAAGCACGGCTTGTCGCGTTCACGAAATTTTGAGGGGAATGCAGTCGCACACTCGCGACGCTAGCCACTGCTGCTCTACCGACGGCTCGGAGCTACGGGCTTTTTCCTCGCACTTCGAGAAAAGGAAATGATCGGTGTTCCGCAGAATTCGTCTGCTGCCATTTTAGCCGCCTTCCGTGATGTCGTCTGCTTCTTGTTTTTCTTTTGCAACCGGCGTACGTTTTAACGTAGAAAAACCGGCGGTTTTCTTTTTTTTTTTTTTTTTTTTTTTTTCTTTAATGGATGTATTAAGCATGCTGATCCATAGAAAGAAATATTTCGAATCTCAATTTAAAAAAAAAAAAGGAACGAAAAATAAAAGAGACGTTTCCGTCTAGCCGCTTCTCCCCGATAAACAACCGGTTAGTTGCTCGCGAAAAGGCGCAAATGTTTCCCCTCAATTTGTATTGTTTTCTTCTTTTTTTTTTTTCCCCTGCTCTGAGGGTTTTCTCTTTTTTTTCTTTTCGTTCCGGTTGATGAACATTTGGAGAAGGAAATATATCGGTGTTCCAAATTAGAAAAAAATGACTTCACTGCGCGGTTTTGGAGCGATTTCGATGCAACGCCGCGGTTAACCTCGCAATGTCACAGCTGCTTATTGTGTTAAGAATTCTTGGCGGCTTCTATTATACTTTTTATGTGTTATTCGTATAGTTTCGCGCACCTGTATTATAATTTTACTTGTATCTTTCTTTTTTTCGGTCGGAACATATGGCTCGACGGATGGATAGGGGAGCAAGCGTAGGCGGCACGAAAAAACTAAACTATCAACAAAACAAAACAAAAAAACACTGACGTGAACTACCAACTGCAGCCGTAATAAGAACTCCCATACCCTTTCCCGTTCGTGATGAGGATCCTTCTCCACCAACCCTCCTCCCTCTCCGCCGGACCGCTCTTTCCTGCAAAACATCGGAAGAACAGAAAAACAAAAAAACAAGCGATGCAAAACAAAATGTCCTGCCGGTGAATGAACTGGCTTGTGCGCGCGGAATATTATTTGTCTATTTCCTGTTCGCAGGAACAAGTGCCTTTTCGGCTCCATTGTTGCCTGCTCGCTTGGCCATTTTCGTATGTGTTTTTGTTCGTGGTTTTTCGTGGTTTTTCTTGTTTGTTTTTTTTTTTTTTTTTGTCATCGGGCAGGCAGAGCGAGTGAAGTACCGCGCTAAAACGATTTTTTGTTCTTCCAAACTTGGCGTCTGTCGTGTTTTTTTGCCTATACCTGCACCTGTTTTGGGTCGTGTTTTTCTCGACAGCTGGACGCTTTGGGATTGTTTCATGCTGGTAGTATAGTGACTGTCATCCCATTTATTATTGGCAATATGAGTCAACAGCGCATGCATGGCGTGTTATTCGCGACATGCCCGTTCCTATTGCCCGTGTGCTCGACCTATGAAATCGCTTTACTGGTTAAATTGGCCTTTTTCTTTTCCCCGCGATTACATATTATATTAAAAAGGGTAAACAGTGCGCAAAATAACGAATACAGAATAAGGAACTGAATGGGACAAGCGCTATACTCTCTACTAAACATTTAATGAAGAAGAAACGTACCGTAACACCAATCAACTCATTCGTGGCCAATGTCCAGGAGTGCTATCTCTGCGATGCCGATTGACCGAAGTTTGGCTAATACAATAATCTCCCTCTGGCCATTATCGTGACACTCTAGTGCGTGTAGTAGTATACTTCCTTGCCATTTGACCCTTGACTGTTCCAATCATCGTGACTTGTTCGAAGTTAGGATGACACCCGCGATCTACACAATGGAGGCGTATACAGTTGTCCATGCTCACGCATATCCTGTCATGCACACGTCGGCCTGTTTGACCGATGTGTGGGGCCTTCTACCACGTGTCAGGGGGAATCTTTTAAACATCGCTGACTGCGCGTTCTACGTGTTTTGTTCTTACGTTTCACAGCGCCGATGGGATTACGTTTCCAGTGCCAACTTGTAGGAGGCCAAAATGGATATAATAGTCCGGGGTTCGTGTCGGTCGGATTTGTTGTTGCAGGAGGGTTGGTTATATCTAGGGGTTCCGTGTTTTCGAATAAATCCGACAAAATCTGGGGGAAAAAAACAATCGCCGGAAAAATTTTCTTTAGCTCGGATTTATCCGAAAGACCCAAAATTTAAAAGTCACAATCGCAAAAGGGGGAAAAAACAGTTTTCTTTAAATAAGTTTGGTCGGAGCTCAGGTTCAGAGGTCATCGGGAGAGGCCTCCCCAGATTTCTTTAAAACCTTGTAGTACTGACGAGAAACGGTTCACCGTTTTATCCCGTCAGGGTTCGTACAGGAGAAAGGGGTATTGTAATTTTGGGGTTTCCAGAATGAATTGCTTTAAGGCAGGTATAGGGTTGTGATTTGATAGCCGTGAAAGATATGAACTCTTAGATTTCACAGGAGCTATAACACAGCTGAGGCTTCTACCCTCACCAGTCCACCCCGTGCAGCCGGAGGGAGTAGTAGAATAGGATGAAAAGAAAACAAGCTCTCCAACAACTACGTCGAGGAATTGGATGATTTTAATGCGTCTTTTTTTTTTTTTTTTTTAGTTTTGTCATGGGACAGTTAGTATTACTAATGGCAAGGGCATCAATGTCGTGCACGTGCGTTCTTATAAATACAAGGCTCACCAATTAATATGTTTATATATTTATTTATTTATTTTCAATTTTGAAAATATGGAAAAATGACAAAAATAAACTTCCTACTTCGGAGAATCGCGAATCTAACAGAAATAAACTCCGAATATTCGGCAAATAAATAAACTGCTAAAAGGACCCCTCGAATTTCACGAGAAATGAACTCCGAAAACACGAAATCCTATATAAGTTAGGTCCCATCTATATACCGTAAAAATACCGGGCAAGCGCCCACCCCACTTGCAATGGAAGCCAATCTGTATTAAAGGTATGCTGAACCAAGCATTTCAGTGTCCATAATAAGTGCCGTACGATCTTTCCACGAGCCAGCAGCCGCCGGCGTGCGCGAGCACACGCAACAAAATTGACGTCATGTCCCCCGTTCACGCTTAAGATGACGGTGAAATGTGTGGGTTCCGTGGAAGAGGAAGATGAAGACAGGCTTTTCATCTGCACAGTCGGCTCGGGTGTAAAAGGTAGGCGATTAATTGGTCTAACAAGCACGTACCTTTCACTTGTGGGGATGAAAAGCCTGTCTTCATTCTCCCTTTGCACGAAAGGCATGGACGTTCGAAAGAAACAACAAAAGTAGTAAAGTTTTTTTTTTTTTTTGTTTTTTTACTTTTCGAGGAAAGTTTAGCGTTCGACTTCCAATTGTAGATTCCCCCAATTGGGTCTCGTTATTTTTGTATCACAAAATGATGCTTTGTCAACAAACAAGTGCCTTATTAGTTGATTGTATCAGATAGTTCGTCAGTGAGAGTAAAACTACTACTTTGTGGCCACCTGACTTTATCCAATATTCGCCTCGATTTTCGAAAATAACTGATGCACCCCGGATTACCCCCGGGGGCAATGCATACAGATTACCTTTGAGGCAATGCAAAAAACAGCATAAAAAAAACTGTATAGGGGGAACGAAAGGGCATCATGAAAGACCGCGGTAAAAGTACTTTACTTTCAAAATAAAGTGTGTTTATTGTACTTTACTTCAAGTACATCGCGCCCGCCCTGTGCAGTGGCGTAGTTAGAGGGGAGTGGGAAAGGGGCCATGTGCGT